GCAACGAACAGCAGACCACGTCAAGTAATTTGAGCCTAACCGTTTAAAGACTTGAAAACCATTTCTAGAGAAAACCATTTCTAGAGATAGAGAATTCTCTATCTTAGAACTGAAACAAGCTCTAGATCACTTCTTTTCACTTCCCCATCGTGTGCAACCCTAAACGACAACTGATAAGCAAAATCTACGATTTTGTTACACACCTAAACCGGCAACGATCAACAAATCGAGAAGAGCACATAGCTCACGCGTGAGTGCTACAGCATTCATAGCAAGCAGGCACATCAACTTTTGGTTTCATTTTGCATTAAAGAGCAAGAGCGTTAGAGCAAGAGGATTATAAACTTACTCCCGTACCCGTTGTTTCTTGGTGGGGAGCGGTACGGGGTGGGGGAGAGGGCTGTCGACAATGGAGAAAATTGTTGCAGTTGGCAGTATTTTGCGAGCATAATGGAGATATAGACATTTTTAGAAAAAAACTCTTATTTTTCGGTCATTTCAAGCTTTCAACTTCAGTAATTATAACAGAAACTCTTGATCAGAAATAATAAACACGCTCAAATGTGGAAAATCTTTACTAACTTTCTCCTCCTTTCAAATTTTTAAATAGTCGCATGTATATAAATGAATGAATAATTTTAGATGGATAAAAGAGCAATTTTCTAGAGAATATTCCTAACTATACAGTGAATTTACATGTTACCGATCCATCGATCCCCGCTTCAGCGCCCACGGTATGTACCACACCCCAGCTACGCATGCACAACGCCGCTGTTTACATCTCTCCAAATCTCAGTTAGAGTCCTTCATAACGCTGAAGATGTGATCCAATATTAGACTGTCAAAAAGCCTTGTTTCCTTTCGTGCTGGTTCCTGTAAGGAGTAAAAGTATCATGTCGAGAGAAAACCTACACGTAAGTTATTGTTTTGCTATTTAAGGGAAATCTGCGAACAAAGAGATGGTAGTGACTATTCCGTACATTTGCTTCGAACAGATCAGTTACAAACTGCTTCCAAAGTCTGTTGAGCGCTTCCTATAAACTTTTTTGTTGGCGGCAGAACAGTTTCTACTTAAGCTTAAATAAGCCAGTTTTAATATCATGTTTAAACGATCGTTACGAAATTGTTTTGAACGGTTTCAAGATTTACATGGAAGCGAAACGTAATTTAAGCGTGATTTGTGGATTACTCACGGAGTTGTATAGAACTAAGTTTAACTTAGGTTAAGATTAGGCCTTCATTTACTTAGGAAAATTGATTGATCACGAACAACACACGATGATGAGGTTGTAGTTACGTAGCTCTTCAGTTGTTAAACATTTGATTTTAAGCTTAACTTTTGAAATGCCAGATGTTGTCAACTCGAATCAAAAGCTTCTAATTGTTAACTGAAGACATTTTAACATTCTACACATGCTTGCAACTGCAGGTTTCTGGTAATATCATCTTTCAAATACTTGTAACATATCATTTAAGGTAATAATTGCTCTGCAGGGTTTCTGGGTAGAGATTTTCATATTTTTCGAGGTTTTCCTTCAGCAACTTTTGCACAGGACGTTGTCAGATTATGAACAGGCGTAAGATTACTGGTGAGCAAGGGTCTTTTTCAAGAGGAAAGTTATGCTTGAAAGTGTCGCTGAATTAATTAATGCGTGTAGATGAATATAATATTGAGCAGATTGTAGCTGACCCAACATCACTCACTTATTAATTAACTTGTACAACATATGTTTACTTAATGTTGCTGGCAGGGTTAAACAGGGTAATATTTATGGAAAATTATGTTTCTTTGGCATTCCATGGATCATAAGATGAGAGACGACAAAGCCATTTTTATTTAATGCTGAAGCAACAATTTTTTTTTTTGGTTTTAAGTAATCTAACAGAACTTTTGTAGAGATATTGAGATGTAAAACCCCAAAGTTTTCATGCTTTCCTGATATTGAATTTTCACGGTTGGCTCAGAGTGTAAAGTATTAATTGCAGTATTGAGTCCTGTTGCAAGTATATCTAGTGAAATATTTCTCTTTTTGGAAAGGTCAGTGACACAGACTACTCAGAAGAAGAATTCCAAATTCCCTTAACAAAAGTCACACCTCAGTTAAACAATGTATATTTGTCTGCTGACAGAACAAAAAATTATTTTTACATGTAGCTTAATGTGTCACTGACTATAAAAGTATATCTTTCTTGCTGTGTAACTTGCCCCAAGCTAACAAACATGACTTTTCTTCCTTTTCATATATATATATTTTTTTATCGAAGGCTGTCTAGTTACCAAAGAGGAATATGTATTTTTTTGTTTGAGTACATGTAATCTCTGACAATATTACACACAGGGGCTGAGCTGAGCATGGAAATAGATGCTTTTTTTCACTCAGAGTTCTAGAATAATATTCAATTTATAGATCTTGGCAAACAATTTGTTTAGTATTTATAACTTAGAAGTCCTGAATTTAAAAAGTGCCTTTTAAAATCTTGAATTTAGAAGACTCTTGCATCTGTACTGATTGAATTATGTCTAAGTCTTGCTTGAAAGATTCTAATAAGACATGCTCTTTCTAACTTTAGAGGAGAGAGAATTCCAAGTCTCGCACATCAATGCGAGAGAAGCTCGTGGAAAAACAGAAAGCAGTGGATGAACATGAGAGCAACTTTACAGCTGGTCGTGTCAATGTGCGGGAGCGATACCTCCACAGGACTGGAATACGGGGAAGGAAAAGTTGGATATTCTTTGCTGTTTTATACATTCTGACTCTTATTGTCATTGTGAATCTTGTGGTAAGTATATTTAGACATGTGAACCATCTAATCACAAAAAGTAGCACAGTTACGAGAGTTTGTTGTAACTGGGTTTACTCAAATGTGCTAAGGCTGTAGAAAAATGCAGGATAAATTTGAAACAGTGATTTCAAATTAGTGTCTCAAAGGTGTTTAGATCTCTGAAGTTCTGGCCTGAAAAGTTCTGACCTTCTGGGCTGACATCCAAGACCATTACAATTTATGTTTTCATAAAATTATTAAGCTCTTGTTTTCAACCATTGCAGATATATCTGGGATGCAAATGTTGCAAAAATAGTTAACAGACATTTTCTGTTTCCCTATGTACCTCCAGTTAGGTAACATTTACATCATTTGTCATGTTTTCATAAGACAGGAATGGTCAGGAAAGTTAGGGAGCATTGAAACTCTCAACTGTCTGGGATTTTTTCTACCTTAAAAAAAAATTTAATTTTTTTGACATTGTACAACTTAGTATAAGTATTTTTTTATCATTCTTTTCACAGATGCTTGCCATCTTGTATAATGTCCTGCAAATAAACAAGGGTGGAATGAAGTGCTTATCATTTTTCAAGACGGGAAATCTTCGTTTTACTTGTTCAAGTGATATGAACTCTGTAACTTTGTACAAGAATCAAGCTGGAACTTTCAAAGACCACAATCTGGTCTTAGATACCGAGGACAAGCAGGTAAGCTGTGTTTAAGAAAAATTCTTTGAAGAGACATGATAGCCTAATAGACCAATTT